GCCCCGCCCTCACCTGGATGATGGATATGGCCCCAGCCCCGCCCTCACCTGGATGCTAGACGTGGCCCCGCCCTCACCTGGATGATGGATACGGCCCCGGCCCCGACCTCATCTGGATGCTGGACGCAGCCCCAGCCCCGCCCTCAGCTGTGTGACAGACATGGCCCCAGCCCCGCCCTCACCTGGATGATGGACTGCAGCTCCTGGATCTTGGTCTTCAGCATCTCATTCTCCCGCTCCAGCTCCAGCACCTGCTCCTTCTTGGGCCGACTCTCGATGTCATTCTTGAGCTTCAGCGACTGGTTTCTCTCCAGTTTGCATTCCTCCTCCATCTTGTTCAGCCGGTGCTTCAGCTGATCGATCTGAAACCCCCAAGCGCGTGGGAGGGCGATGAGGTGGGCAGCGCTGCCCGGGTCCTGCCAGGTGCCCAGCACTGCACGTGTGGTGTGGCTGTGGGGGGCTCCCGGAGACCCTCTCCAGGAAAACAAACCGCACTTCACTCCGACACAGCTCTCGACCATAACTCAGGACGGCTCTGAAGGGCTACCCGTCTCAGAACCTCCTCCCAGTAACCTGTGGGGTGGACAGGCTGTGGGACACTGCTGTGACGCCTCTCGGAGCCCTGAGGAACCCTGGGGCCATCAGAAGAAGAGGAGGCTGGGAGCCGGGGTCCGGGCAGCCTCCCCGCTGCTCCCTGTGCTGGTCTCCTGGGTTCCGCACGAGATTTTATCTGAGCAAACAGCATTGCCACAAAAGACAAACAAGACCAGAGAACAGCTTGCGACCCACTGGGCTCTAAGTTTGCGGGCTCTCTGAAATTAGCGCCCAGAGGAGCGGCTTCCTGGGGCACGGAACCTGTCCCCCCCAGTTAGCATCAGGCCCTGGGAGCTGTGGGAGACCTGCTGGCCTCCTGTAACTGAGCCCGGCTGCTGCTCCACGCCGACTGGCCTTCGTCAAACTCCCCACCCACGGAGACAGGGCTCAAGGGCTGCACGCCGGGGGGCACCAAGGGAGTGGAGTTATTTCTGAAATCGAGGCTCGTGGAGGGAACGGCCCTAACCACTTTGGCAAGAGGGTGGTGGCGTCAGAAAGGGAAGGCCTGCTGCTGCACCACCGTGGCATGGGCCAGTGATGACAAGGGCATGCTGGGAAGCAGCCCGAGCTGAGAATCTAGGGGCTTGGGCGCCGGCGCCATGGTGCAGGTCCATCCTCCCCTGCAGAGTCGGCATCCCCTATGGGCACCCGTTCGAGTCCCGGCTGCTCCACTTCCCATCCAGCTCCCTGCTATGGCCTGGGAAAGCAGAAGATGGTCCAAGTGCTGGGACCTCCGTACCCAAGTGGGAGGCCCGGGAGAAGCTCCTGGCTTCAGATCTACACAGCTCCACCCACTGCGGCCTTTGGGAAGTGAACCAGCAGAGGTGCACTCCCTCTCACTGTCTGTAACTCTCTCAAATAAATAAATATTAACAGAAGAAGAAGAAGAAACGGGCTGAGCTGGGCAGGTCACCATGAGTCTTTCTGCAGCCGAGGAGGAGGCGTAAGCCGGGGGCCTGGCATCCCCGCACAGGTTAACTGCCCCCAGACCGGGCAAGACCAATGGACACCACTTGTCCTGGCTCCTGCAAAGCCAAGTGCTCAGCGTCTTTGAGCGTCAGCCCAGTGTTTCCTGCCACAAGTGGGCAGGCAGGGAGGCTGGCACTGCAGGGGGCTTACCAAAGGCGTCCGGAGCAGGGACGCAGAGGCCGGGGCCTGGTGTGGTAAGATCAGCACCCCACTTGCAAGTCAGAGACTAGAGGCAATGCCAGACTGGTGCTAAAGCTAAAAACCAGAATCCGACTCAAACCTGTGGGACCTAACAGCTCATGCTATTCTTACGAGTTAATTCCTGAATTGATTTCGCAGAGAGAGCGAGTGAGAGGAATCCCATCTACTGGGTCACTCCTTAAATGGCTGCAATGGCTGGGAACATGGAACTCAATCCAGGTCTCTGTGTGTGGTGGGCACTAGCGACGTGAGCTGACGCCTGCAGCCTCCCACCGTGGAGGTGGGACTCAGATCCGGCATTGATATGGGAGGGGGGTTTCCCCACTCAACACCACCCGTCCACTGTGCCAGGGCCTCCATCTAACGGCCTGCGTACCGATCTGGCTGCTCCACTAAATTTTCAGCGACTTATTTATCTCTGTCCCCTCACAGTGTTTAGCACAGCGCCAAACACGTGGCAGGCGCTCAATAAATATTCCCAGAGTCTATTTTCCACCCAGCAGCCAGAGTGAGCCTTCCAAGACATCAATCAGCTGTCACCGCCGGCCCTCAAGCCTGCTGTGGCTGGAGTCAGCGCAGGAGTGCCTGTCGCGGCCACCCCGCCCACTGTGCCCACCGTGTGCCCCGCGTCCACCACGGTCACCCCACATGCACTGTGGCCTCCGTGCCCACCGTGCCCCACGCCCACCCCACCCTGCGGCCACCGCGCCCACCCCGCACCCACTGTGGCCTCGGCGCCCACCACGGGCTCTGCGCCCACAGTGCCCCACGCCCACCCCACCCTGCGGCTACCGCGCCCACTCCGCGCCCCGCACTGTCCACCCCCGTATCCACTGTGGTCACCACGCCCACCCCACACCCACTGCGGCCTCTGCGCCCACCGTGGTCACAGCGCCCACCCCGCGCCCCGCACTGCCCACCCCACACCCACTGCGGGCACCGTGCTCACCCCAGACCCACCGCGGTTACAGCGCCCACCCCACATCCACTGCAGCGTT